GCCCCCCCCCCCCCATGCATGTGTTAGAATATGTTGTTCTAGTAGCAAAACATGTACTGTGTATGGAATTCTTGTGTTGTAGCTTAGAGACCCCGTAGACAGTAGTGATCATCATGGATGTGTATTAAGACTCAGCCAAGCCATGGGGAATTTGACAGTTGTGCAAAAGGGAGAAAGAGATCTTATTTCAGATGGAGAGAAGGGTAAGTGAAGCCTTCTGCTTTCAGCAGTGTGATTGTTCTGTTCTGTTTGCTTTCATAGTCCACTAGAATGTATAGCAATTGGCTGTGTCCCCTGAAGGTTGGAGGGATTGCTGCCTTTGCAGATCAACTTTACATGACTGTGTAAATTGATATTTTAAGAGTGCAATTAAATATATTTGCTGAAAAAAAGTTGCTGATTTTATTTCACATTTATAGATGTTGTATTTTACATTACATGGGTATTGAGAAATTAATTAATTAATCTTTGTGAACTGCTGGGAAGTTCTTTGCTGAGGTGGTTTATATAAGTGCAGCTGTCTTTCATAAATTGATACAAAATAAAACTGTTAGCTCATGATGCATCAGTGTGTTGTGAGAAGTGAAGATGTCTTGAGGCTCATGCCCTGCTCAGTTCCTTGGTGCTGCAGATTAGCATGTACGTACATGACTTTACAGCAGCCCTGAGAAATTAAAAAATTAACTCTAGATTGCCATTGCAAGAGTCCCATACCAATATGGTTTAAAGTGTACTTAATAAAATTGGCTACTTGTCTGATGCTTTTTATACTGATCATTTACTGTGATCAGTATAAAATTAATTCATGAGTGCCTTCGTCACTTTTTTCCTGCATGGTCTTATTTCACATACATAACAAGCAGCAGCTCTGCTTTTAATTACTTGAACTGCTAATCTCTGATAAATGTTTATGCTGCTTCAGAACTGTTTTGTATATACAGTCAGTTTTTCATTATTGGGAGCCATGGAAATCTTTTATAACAGAAAAGCAGATGTAATATGACAACTGGTTTGTGCAGAGCCACCTTCCACACACCCCCTTAGTGCAGGTACTCTAGCAGGCTGTGCAACAAGTGGGACCTGCAAGCAATATGGTTACAACTGTGTGGAAAAGGACCTTCCTCAGGTAGTACCCAGCTTTCCCCACAGGAAATCTGTTGTCATATTTGCACCCGGAGCAGACACTCTGGTTACACTTGATTTGTAACCTCAGACAGTCAGGCCAAGCTTAAGGGTGGATGGGCTCTGCTGGAGGATAAAAGGTCTTGACTCCAGTTTATGCCAGCTAGAGAGCTTTAGAGCACTGTAGTTGTCTTCTTCCTCTACTTTTATGTCAGCAATATTCTTTTTATACAGGATTATTGCTTTTTAAATGAACATTGGGAAGACTGGGTGAGCACTTGAGATTGAGTACTTAATCTAGTATATGTCTGTTCTCCTTGAACTGTTACCCTTGAGATGTGTATCTCCACACCTGCTGGAGAGACTGGACAGGTCTCCAATGTCTCTTGTCATTGACAGGATTAAAAAAAAAACAGGAAACAAGTGAAGTTCTTTCCAGTTTCAATTTTGAATGTTCATATGTGGCACAAGTTCATGTATGTCTTGTGTGCTTTTGGGGTTTTTTAATTGGTTTCATTTTTTTCCCCCACCTTGTTATTTGTCTCTGTTGTGTTCTGGTGTTTTCTTCTATTAGTGAAGTGGCTTTTGTTTTGAAATAAAAACAGCTCTGTGCCTTTATAGCAGGTGATTGATGTCCAGATACAGGCTCCTTTCTTGTTCTTACCTTGGTGCTATCACTGATGCTTTGTTGGATTTCAGGCATTACAGGCAGCATTGCTGAGCTAAGAAAGCAGGTTATGCTGTCTGTTACAAGAACTGTTTTTAGAGTTTGCATGACCTTGAAGAAGGTTCTTGAGAATTTTGCAGAAATTATAGACATCAGCTTTCTTTTAACAACAATGTTCTTTGGGTCTGGTCTGCTGGTCATTTTTTTAAAAGCTTCTCAAATGCAAACTTATGTTGAGAAAGGAGATCCTACTGTGGTCTGAGCCAAACATGGAATATGTTGTCAAGTCACTGACCTTGAATTCTTTCCCAGGTTTTTTTCTTATTTTTCATCTGTCTCTTCTTTTGATCTGGTGTCTTTTTTTTTCAGCTAAGACTACATACATGAGGGAAATCCAAGGTTATTGGATCGGGCCATTGTCCACTGAGCACAATGAAACATTATGAAAAGATCTGTGTACTCCTCTTGCCTTTTATTTATCATATCATCCATGCGTAGTGCTTAAGCCCTACCTACTAGGCATTTCCTGCTTGACCTCCTGTGTTCAGCATACTGACACTGTAGTTTGCATGTATTACTTCTAAACTTTCTCCTTCAGGAAAATACTGCATGCGTGCTTTCCAGGGAAAAAAAAAAAATAAAGAGAAAAGTAAGTCTCAGTGCTCTCCAGGAAAACCAGACATTGAGAAATTGCAAACTTAACCCTGTAACTTTAGTGTTTTATGTTTAGTTGTTGAGGAAGGAGGGCTTTTTGAAGATGCCAAATTTTGCAGCACATTTTGAAGATGCACAAATTTTGTTTGTGAATGCTTTATAGCTTAGAGTGATTGTAGTGGATATTTTCAGAGTACTTTTATTCATGAGTCTGTAGGAAATGCAGTAGACAGTTTACTTCTGTTACCTGAAGACAGAAAGGGTTACCAGGTGATTTTGTGCCAGGTATTGCTGAAGAATTACTCCCAGCAAAAAGCTTTGTAATTCTGAATAATTTGACAAATTCTGATTGGAAGCTGAAGTTTAATAAATTCAAAATAAGATTTAGATAAATTAACTAGCACAGCAACATACCTGAAACTTTGCTAGATTCACAAACTTTGAAGTGTCTGGATGCCTCTAAAGTTTGTTTTCACAGATCAGACTAGTTGGTGCAGGTGATTTCTTATGGCCTCAAAGTCACATACTGGCCTCTGTGAAAACAGTAGCAGTCCCCTGGTATGAAGGAGGTTTTTTTTAAAATTTGTCTCCATTTCAGTAGTGAGCCGCCAACTGGCCTGTAAACATAACCACCAGGATTTTAAATTAAGTTTATATACTCTTTTTCTCTTTCCTTTTGCAATTTCACATTATAGCTTGGTCTACAGTTGTTGATTCCGTGCTCTACAAAGATGAGCTTCACCATGCTCTTGGTAGGTGATATCAGTGCCATCACTGACCAGGGTAGGAATGAGTACTCAGCCTATGGGTAAAAGGTAAGTCAGCTTTTATTCACTATGACACAGCTCTCTGAGGTTATCCTTTTATTATTCTTTGGAGAACTGGTCAATAATAAAGTGTGGTTATACCAGCCTTAGTTCCTAACATGTTTAAAATTTGGTTAGGTCCTTGAATTGAAGTATTTGGATTTTGTTTTTTAAACAAGATAGTGGGTTTTCTGTGTTTGACCCTCCTCTCTCACAAAAGGCAGGCTCTGTGGGAACCATCCCACTACTGCCTGGGACTACTTTTACCTGGAACCAGTAGCCAGATTTGGTTTCTCTCCAGTTGCTCAGCTGAACCTATGGTCAAAAGAAGTAAGGAAGCATGCAAGGCAGAATACTGAGTACTGGCTATGGGGTAAAAAGCCAACTCTTGCCTTAAGTCCCCAAGCAGAAGTGCTAATTCCAGCCATTCATCTCCCCACATGGGTGGAAAGGAAGCTGTTCAGTGCTTGTCACTGCCTGGCTCACTCACAGCTGCTGAGCAAATCTCACCCAGATTCACAACTGAGAGGCAGCACCTTTGTCTCCAGTCCTGCTTCTGCAGAATGAGCAAAGTGGGGAGGTGATGGTTCCTGTCCCCTGTGCTGTCTCTGGCACGTGCAGCCCAGCGAGTTTCTCCCTGGCACTGTTCACCTGGCTCCTGTGCCTGTCCAACAAAACTAATGGAAAATTTGGGTCATTTTCATCTCAAATTGCCTGCTTTATCTCGCACTCAAGGACTTACCTAAGTTTTAAAAGTGTGATTAGGGAATAAAAAAGTATAAGCACCCTTTATATAAAAGCCAACTTACATTTTCCACATCAGTTGAGTTGTTTCTCTAGCCAGAGTCATTAAACCTGGTTTCTCTGTCTGTATGCACACTGAGACATTCCTGGGAATCCATGATCTCCAGCTATGTGCTTTTGTGAACTAACTTGCAAAAGGAAAAAGATAAATTCCTTATTAGTTTAAATACATGCTAGGTCAGAGGTGTATATTGGTAAGAAATTTTACTAAAAATCTGATAGTGGTCTAAATCTTGCATTGATGTGGCAAAATGGTCCTTGGTAGCTGCATTATTTGCATAGAAAATGGAAATCTTAAGCCTTTTAATTAAGCTGGAGTGTGTTTGTTGTGTGGAGTGGCTGTTAGCTGATAAATCCAGTTGGTTCATATTAGAATGGTCATGTTTCATACATGGATTCCTGACCACATTAGGGTGAGTGTAATACTCTTCCTCTGTAAGAGGAAAACAAGTGCAAGGAATTTGTTCAGGATGTCTGAGATGCAGGAGGTACATTTAAATCTCCAGCCTTTTGGTTTGCAGTCTCAATAAATGTGATATTTCACATAGGCTCTTCAACCTTCTTGACCATCATCAGAACAACTAAACTGTCCCATATTTCACATCCTGTGCTCTAAATGCAAAAGTAAAAGCCACCCCAGAGATTGATGTATTTTTTTTACTACTGAGTGAATGTGGTGAATCAGGAACAAGCAGACACACACTACCTTTTGTAGTTAGAAAAACTTTGGTTTTCTAACTGTGATGTATCTAGGAGCTGGCATTGTAAATGGTGCTGCCTGCATATAGCCATATCAAAATCTGTGCTTCCCAGTTAACTTGTAGTCCTTGAAGTCAGCAAAACTACTGCATTCTGATTTTTTTTTTCCTTCAAAGAGAGGACAGCTATTTTCAATTGCATAACAGACTGTTGTGTTTTGGTTTTTTAAATTAAGCATACAATACCCATAAATAGGTCATCCTTCTGGGCTTTTGGCAGCAGCAAAATTTGGGCTGGGAGTTCTTTCAGCTTAAAACTTGGAAATGATACAGCTAGGTGTGACACCATAGTCTGAATGCTCTCACAAATATTAATGTGCATCTTACCATCACTCCCTTTCTTGAATATCTAGAAGATATATTATGGCCTGAAATAAATTAAACACAGAGCCACTACATGACTTGGCCATAGTTACTCAGAAAGTCTGGGGCAGAGTTTTGAATTGTTTGAAGCCTAAAAGTCTTGAATTTCTACTTTACAATGTTCTTTCAGTATGTCAGTCTTCAATTTTTTATTTCTGTTGCACTCATTTCAGTGCAAATTATTTCCATGGATTTATGTACACAAGAAATCTGTGTGATTATATGTGAGGGATGTGTTGTATTCGCTGCCTAAAGCTCTGGCAGTATTTGTGATGTTTACTTGCTGAGACTGTGTTGAAACTGTTGAATAGGACTGTAGTTGTTCTGACTCTAGCAGATCTCCTTGCAGGCATTTCTTCAGTGATGACATTTTTCTTTCATCTAGCCTTTTCTTCAGATAGTATATGTGTGCTGCATGGATAAGTGCTAGGGAGTTGGGTCATTCAACCCCCCTGAGACTTACTTGGTGTAAATCAGATTTCATTAAAAAATGGTCTGCTACTTATATTGAGGTGGGTTTTCTTTGATTCTTTACCCTGAGAAATAATGACAGCAGATTTGTTTGCTCAGGCCCGTTAGAAAACGGAACTAGACACCCTTCCCTACCAGCCCGCTTGACCAGCATTAATTGTGTGTTTCTGTCAGTGGAACTATAACTGAATCTCTCCATTGTTTTGATCCGGACTGGTGTCAAACAAACTGACCTTAAGTGGTCCTGGCTGCTGCCTTTTCAAAATTGCCACACTGTGGTGGTTTCAGTCTTTGTAGTTTCCTTGTTGTCCCACATCCAGTCATCTTGGTCTCCTCAGCTCTTCTAAGAACCATGTTTTCTATGTTTGCTGATGTACATGCCCATCCCTAGTTGAATGTGCTAAAGCCTCACTGAACAACAGGTCAAAAACAGCTTGATCCTCACGTAAATAAGAGCGTTGTGCATGTTTCCAGGGAATAGAGCTGCCCCCCTGCTTGGCATCGTCGCTGACCCTTCAGCCGTGTCCAGCTAATCGAGGTCTTGTGACATTGTTGTGACTGGTTGTGACTGCTCAGTGCAACATAAAGACACCCATCTCCATGGTCCCTAAAGAACTGCTGGAACTGTCTTCAGAGCAGGGCTCAGACATGCCCTGGGGGAGCGTGAAAACAGGAGTTCTATTTTGCTGTTCTAGGAGAAGGGTGGGAAAGGCACCCTATGTTGATTTGGCAGTATGCTGGTTTGTCTTGATGCCACTGTGGGATTCCTTCTTATATTTTAAAAGCTCTTAATAATGGCTGTAATTCAGAAGTGTTTTTAAATCCTTTTCCCACTGCCTGTCGTCATGTTCATCATCCTTTTATTTCGAGATGTTCTTTGATCAGCCGAGCCTCTGCACAAGAGTTGTGTGTTGTATCTTTCCCTCCTCATTCAAGAGAATTTTCTCTAGTTCTGCTCCTTTGAAGGTATTGCATGGATTTGTTTTCCAGCATCTGTGTGCAGAGTACAAAGGTCTGCTTTTGTTGTTGCCTGTGAGGTAGTCTGCACATATTTGAGACTTATTTTTTAAAACCTCAAACAAAAGACCACTTTTTTATTATTTTTTTATTTAGCAGAGTATTATAATTGGCCTAGTTTGAGGAGATCTTGCTTTCCTGGACAGCTCAAAAATGACTGAAAGGTTGTGGGGCTGCAGAATAGAGGCAGATGGTGACATACAGCTAATAAGCAGGGGCTTGTGCTCAGCTGTCAGTCAGAAGGCCCCAAAGCTTTTGAACAGAGGATTTCCATCCTGCCTCCTGCCAGGAGTTCAAGCCCTCAAAGTGAAAATCCTGTGAGATAGCATCTTCAAAGCAGTAGAATTAGAGGTAATTTCTCCAAAGCACTGTATTTAAAATAAAAATAAGAATAAATCACGCCACCTAAAAGGGCATACCTTCTTCAGATCACTAACTCAGAAGGGCATTAAACTTGTGAAATTTGACATTAGCTACTGCTCACTGAGAAACACATCCAGAATCTTAATTTGAGAGGGGGAGGGGGAAGGGGGAGAAGAGTGATTGGGAAAATGAACTGCTAGCAAGGCTGCAGTGGTGTGTGCTGTGCTCGTGGTGACTAATGAATCTTTGCCCTCTCAGTGGCAGCAAACATGCACAACTGCCTGGCCTTGGAGTCCCACAGTTATTGCTGGAAGGATCGGTAGGAAATGCAAGTGAAGTGCAATTCTTCGAACTAGAAGGGGTTTATTGGCATTATGTAGTTTTTTGCTTGCTAGTTAGGAAGATGTTTCTGCAAGTCCTTCAGTTCTGTGCAAATTTCTTCCATTAGTTTAAAAAAGAAAAATGTTTTAAAATGTTAAAAATATGGGCAGTACTCCCCCTAAAATACCTGGCTTGCTCTTTTATACTCCTTGAAGCAACTCAGCCCAGGCTTGAGGTAAGAGCTGTTGTCCAATCAATGCCTGGTATTGCTTTATCCTTAGCTTGTATATTTGGCATGCTCAGCAGCACAGAAGTGGTTGTGTGCATGGTCCTGAACCCTGCAGGAACTGACTGGAGATGCTAAGGATCACACTTGGGCCAGTCATGATTCTGCCAGTCCTTCCATCCTCCTAGGAGAGGAAAATAAATTTCTCCTGGGTTTTTTTTTTTTCAGGGCCAAGCAAGAAAAAAGCTAAGGGTAGGTACATATCCACAGAGGTAGCAGAATTGATGCTGTTTTCTTTTTATGTGCCTTTTATGTCCTCCAGGCTTCCTGCTTGGGCTTGTTGAGAGTGGAGAACAAAGGAGTCAAATGTAGTGAAACCATTTGCGTATGTAGAGAAACCATTTACATGTTCCTCCTGGTTAAAGCTGCACAAAGAGATCAATTTGACCAAGGTCCTTTGTATATTTAAAATAGAAATGTAACATCTGATATCCTGACACAGCCTATCCACAGTGACAGTGCTGACAGAAACATACACGGATGGTGAGGGCAGTGCCAATGGTCAGAAAAAATAAATCTGTCTCGCCTGCGCTTTTACCAAAGCCTAAGGAAGAGGCTATTTCATTAAAATATGTTCGTGATGGACATGGTAGAGCATTTGAGATTTGAGTTCTATTTTGCATTTTCTTTTTGTAAGCACCTTAGTTTACATTGGCAAACTCTGAAGGTCAGAGACACTCAAGAGTTGTGTTTGTGCAATGGCTTTCTGGAAGGACCTGGTCAAGTTTGGGGTGATGGCTCATGATGGCACATGAACAACTAAACTCACCAGTGCAGGCTGAGTGAAGTGGAGAAAGTGTGCACATTGTGCAAGGTGATGTGCAAAGGATTTAAAGGTAATGAGAAAAGTATTTTTAAAAATGTTACTGCTTTTTTTTAAAAAAAGAATAGTGTATTTCAGCACATTCTACTGCCTGTGTTAAGTCTCTCACCTGTTAGTTGCTGTGTGCCTCAGAGGGTAACCCTTGCAGCCACAGTGCTGTCATTGTAAATGGAGGGATGAAAGCACATGACTTTGGTTTTGGTTTGTCTGTTCACAGTACTTGTGTGCAGTCATGAAGGAAGCAGCCGGAGATGTGGTGGACAGGGGGACCTCCTTTCTGGTTCTCTTGGAGTCTTGGCACACTGGGCATTTGTTGCTGGAGCTGAAAAAACAAATGGGTATGAATATTAATTCATAACTTAATTGCTGTGAGTCTGTGTTCACCTATGTTGTAGACCTGCTATTATATACATTTCCAAATGAAATTGGAGATTTTGGTAAGAAAGTATCTATGTACTTTTAAAAAGTATAAGGGTGTTCTAGAGCAGTCTGTGTAACAGTAATAATTTTAATAAGACAAACCTTTCAGTTATCTAACATCTCCCAAGTGTGGGTCAGAAGAAGAGCCTCTGGATCTGTTCACAAGGACATTTATGTATGAGGTATGTGTTTTCAAAACAATTGAATGTAGGCAGAAAGTAGAAAGGATAAATAAGTGGTAGTCATTGGCAGCAACATCTCCATAATTCAAAACACATGTTGCTTGGCTTTGTTTCTTTCTGTTTTGGTGAATCTTCCTGCATTGTGGCTAAGTAATTCAGTGAGGCAGGTGTGTTGAAACTTGAAAATAAAATAGAATTTCAGAGAGTAATTCTTTTAAGGCCAAATGGCAGTCCACTTTGGTTTTACCTAAAGCAGCCATGCAGATGGCTTTTGGCTTTTTAGTTAAATTTTGTCAGCTCCTGCCGAACTAGCTGGTTCAGATAGGCATGGAGTCTTTCTGTGAAAGTATCAGCTTTAAATCAAGTTGAAAGGAACGTAAGCATTCAGGGAGTTACAGTCCCTCTTCTCAGTAAGTAACAAGCTATGGAAGCTTGAGGAGTGGAGACCTTCTGTAGACTTTGGGATGCTGCATGCAGGTGCACAGTGTCAGATGTCCATGGGAGTTAACCAGGCGGTGCTTGTGTTAGCACAAGGGCACTGCACAAGGTGTCCCAGGAGGAATGAGTTGAACCAGGCTTCAAAATTCTGAAATTTAACATACAAAATCTTGGTTTCCCTTGTCGTTCTGTGTATCTGGATTTGCAGCTGCCACTGAAGGAGGAATTCTGTTTTAAGTAGTCAGAAGAGTGACTTTATTTTTGCACAGGGTACAGCACAGCAGTATTAAATTGTTGGAGAGATTAGCAAACACAGCACGTGTTTTCCAGGCTCTCCTGACTTGAGCTCCTGTGGCTTTTCTAAACAGCTCGCTACGAAACTCCTTTATTTTATAGATGAAGGAAAAGTATAATTGACATCAGTAATGTATTGTGTCTCCTGCAGTGGTGTTAAGGTGACCCTTCACAGACACCTGCTGTACCAATCCTGCCTACTTCATGTGTTGCAGGAAAGAAGGAGCTTTCTGGGTTCAGTGAGTCGGGTCATCCACTTGGAGACTGCTCTGCAGGCAATCCAGCCAGTCCTTCCAGCTTGTGTCTGGCTCTGGCATTTCAAAAGGGGTCTGTACAGAGAGGTTTTCAAACACTGAGAATGTGCTGGCTTTCAGGGGTGCTAGTGGTACAGTAGGTAGGGTTCCTCACTTGAGAGGATGCTGATGTGTTTGGAGTATGGCACTTCAGCTGCCTTGAGCCCAGGAGCCTGTTTCAGAGCAGTATTGGGGCATTCAGGATTAACTCTCACGGTGGCTTAAATGCTCCTACACCTTGATGAGTGCATAGAAATTCTGCTTAGGTAGCACCTAATTGTGAAGTCATATCCTGCTTTGCCTGTGTTTTACATTGGGATCCTTCACAAAACTCTCACCTGGTAGAAGAGTCAGGAGGTCCTTAGTGTGTTCCAGGAAGCAATGCTTAGCTGAGGCTGAGCTTTGTGAGGTGTTGGATCAGCCAGACCTGGAGTGCAGCACTGGCTGCTGAACTGTTCTACAGTTGTTTTAAGGCAGCACAAGTGACTCCCATGGCCCAGCCTATGAAAAGATGCTCTAGAGATGAAAGGTGGAGGTGGCACTGGACTGTGCTGGCTTCTCTGGGCGAGGTTCAGCATTACAGACCAGGGTCTGGGTACACTTTCTTGGGCAGTTCATAAGTGTGTAGGAGGCATTACAGCAGTGTGCCTTGTGTTGTGGTCTTCACTTTTAAGCTGATCTAATGACAGCCCTGGGGCAGTCTCAGGCCCTGCTGAAAATCATCTCTCGTCTGCATTCCCATGAACTTCCCCTACACCTGCAAGACAAAACTAAATGGAGTTACCCAGAGAAGGGAGAAGAAAGGGGGTCAAAAGGATGTCAGGTGAGCCTCTGGTCTTTCTCTGGAGGAAAGCATGAAGCTTCACATCAGTAGAACTAGACATGGAACATCTTCCCAACTTTTTAAGGCTGTTGTCCTTGTGTGTGCTTTGGCCCTGGTGGTGTTTCTCACTCAGTCACATGCTGTGCCATGGGTAGGGAAGTATTTGATTAAAAAAATTCAGACAAAGATGCTCTGCAGTGCAAGAGCAAGAGTTTGCTTAAGAGGCCTTCCTGGCAATGCTAACATTTGCAAGTACAATGATGATGTCCACCACCTTATAAGTGCACAGAAGTGTTCAGATTCTCTTTATAATGTTGTTTTTTGTTTTTTTTTCCTTTCAGTCAAAATCCCTTTCTAGTGGCTGCATTTGGAGCTTGCTCTCTCACGAGGCAGTCTAACCACCAAGCCTTTCAGAAATTCGGACGTTCAATGACAGCCTCTGACATGGTTTCAGAAGTTGGAACGGCTTTCAACAAACTTTTTGAAACCTGAAGCCAAAGGAGCAGAGAAGAAGGAAGAACAATGACTGCAAGAGTAATTACATGTACCGTAGAATTTACATAATGCACCCTTTCAAGTGCTGTAGCAGCATTGGTATGTTAGGTAGATATTTTTTATTTTTAAGAATAGAAAAATATGATTAATGTAGATATTTTTTAAGAGTTTGGAATACAAAAATGTTTTGGCTGAAATAAGCTGTAGTTGCAGATCTGTTCTAATATAATAAAACTAAACTGAAAGTATTCCTCTGTTCTTTTTGATAGTTATTGAGCAATAACTAAAGTGTGAACAGAAAAAAAGAAAATGCACTTGGTATTTAGATAAAATTCTTCCACCAGCTCAACTGAATTTCTTGGATTTCACCAAGGTTGTCACTTGTCATTCTTAGACCCTCTGTCTAGAATTAGCTATTGCACTTCATTTTTTTGCCATGCTAGTATAGTAAGAAGCAAAAAGTAAGCCTCTTTGGAAAGGGAACGCATGAGAGTTGCTGTAGATTTTGAATGTAATTAGTTGCCCATTCCCAGTCCCAGAGGCATTCATTTGGGCAAGGCATCCCTTCCTGTGGTGTCATTTTTTTAAAAAGGTTCCCCCTTGCTAGAATAAAGATATGCTATAGGTATCTTATCAGTAAAATTCATTAAACAATAATTAGGCTTACCTGAAAAAAGAAATAAATTTCTGTTTCTTTATCTGGTCTTGACTCAATACAATGAACTTGTGAAATTGTCATTTGGAGAGGTACTAGGCGGGGCAAGAAACTCGGTGATAGCCAGCAGAACTGGTCCAGCTCTCAGTGATGATGATGGAAGAGTGAAGTGCTTTTAAAACTCCAGTTTTTGCTGGATTATTGCTCAGAGCAGCCCAGCACACACATCTGTAGGTGGACAGCGATGAGCCAGCGGGAATAGAAGTTGAAGGAACAAAAGGCAGCCCACGGCTCGTACCTGTACCCTCACAGTGGAGTGCATGTACGCTGCAAGTCAAAGGCAGGAACAGAAATAGGGTGGTGGGTGTTTGTTTCAGGTGTAGTACTTAGTACTGCAAAAAGCAGGAGTTTTTAGAGCAAAAAGCGTAGAGGCTTTTACTTGATCTTTGCAGGACAGACACTGTTGAGGCCACACTGATCTGGTGCACTGGCAGAGCAGGCAAGCATTAGGTGTAAAGCAGAACCTCCGTGGGATTTTGCACAGGACCATTCCTTAAATTTTTTGAGATTTATTCAAAGCTTGTTGAACCAGAGTGGAGAGGGAGGCAAAGTCATGCGAAGTAAATTTAAATGGGTACTGCCCTTGGACCTCCAATCCAGCTCCAAGTGTTCCTGCTCATTAAAGCAACAGGAGAAGCAGGTAGCACACCTGGTTATTGCAGTAGATGTTACCTGTTCAGCACAGCCGCTCCTGCGGTGCTCTCAGCTGGAATGTGGTGTCTCACAGACCAGTCAGACTGTTCTCATTCCTTGCAATAGCTGCCTGCAGAAAGCACCCAGAATCAGAAAGGCTACTCCAAGTATTTCCCTTCAGCCTGTAGAGTTGGTATTTCTGGATGCACTGTGACTACTACCTCACCCTGATGCATTTTTCTTTTTAAACCAGTTACCTATTTTTAAAATAGGTTTTTAAGTATTTGCTTGTGTTGCTCTATGAGGGTTCACAGACTACTCTTAAGAAATTAGGTTTAAGTGTTTAATTTAAGCAGTTTTGTAAACTGTCTGCATCTTTGGGGAAACTTGAGCTATTATTTCCTCCCATTAAATGTATTTGAGAAACCTAACTACTTTTAAATGAAATCAGAAATTTAAAACTGATTTTAAAACAGCTACTGCCTTTAAAATAAGCAATTTTTTTCTTGTAATTAGAACATCAGTGGTATTATAATCTAAATTATGTGTAGGCAAAATCAATTAACAGAGCTCAATACAGATTTCAACCTGCCCTATTGTTTTTAAAGCTACACAGAAGTTGTAACTCTTGTTATTCACCAATGTATACAAATTGTTACAATTTTTAAACATTCTGGAAATGTAGCAGTTTCTTTTGGTAGGAAATAAAAATAATAGCAAAATGACTGGACTTCGTTTGGTGTGCTGATCCCATTTCGCACAGCAGCTGAGTTGCTGCTCACCATTCACTCTGTTTTGCTAGAACAACACTGCCACGAGCAAATGGCAATACCAGCTGTGTCAGATAAGCACCTGTGCCTCAGTGCTGAATGAAGAGACACCCCACTCTTCTCTGGATGTACAGATAATGGAGAAAGGGAGCAGGAAAACAGTTACACATTTTATTCTCAACAGTATTAAAGAAAGCCTTTATCCTTTTGAACAGATTCTCTGAAAGCACGTAAGTGTCTTATAGGTGAACCCACCTTCTTGGTTCTTATGTTTTCATAAATCGATTTAAAGAAAGTGCAGATACCAGCCTTGTATCACCACAGGCCCTAGAACACAGGTCACCCCAGGTTAAGAGAGGCTTCTGCACCTCTGCCCACAGCCATGGCCAACAAAAAGGTAACTGAACATGTAAAGACTACACTTATTTTATACTAATATATATACATCCTAATTTATCTTCCCAGTTCTGGAGAGATCCTGAGTGTGCTGCACTCTCTGTGCTAGAGAAATCTCCTTGAATTCTGTGTGAAAGCAAACAGAAGATACCACGTCTTAGAGTAACTGGATCCCATCATATTACAGATGAAGGTTTCACATGATCAAAGCAATTCCACTGCAGTAAGGAAATACTTCAAGTTTGAAAGTATCCCCTGTTCATTCCTATGTCTGAGAGGAACAGAATTGTCAAACCAACAGGCATAAAACTAAGTGTTTTCATCTTAAAGACAGGCCTAAATTCTTGCATCTGCCTTCTCTATGTTTAAATTCTGTGTCAGGTCAGCAGCTCAGGGCAAGGGCAGATGACAGAGCATTTGGGCTGGGGCAGTTCCTGCAGTAGAAGAGACCCATGTCTGTACTAAGTCAATGCAGTTGCTCCCATGCTGCCTTGTATTCTGGATGCTTCCACCACCTGTGCTGCAAGGCCTGTACTTATTTACCAAGTACTAGTGCCAACAGTTGCGCTCAAATTATATGCTATCATTTTTAGCCATTCTGTTCAACAGATTTTATTTTTAAAGAATCAGTATTTACAACAGTTGCCAAAGTGATGAAATAAAAAACAAGTCCAAGGATGAAGGATCAGCTTTTTTTCTCAGTCTGCTTCTCTGTCTGCCCTCCTTCCACAATTTCCCAGGTTGAAACAGCAGCTCTGTCCTGTAAATAAAAAGTAAGCAGATCAGTCCTGCCAGACTGGATCACAGGTTTTTAACCAAGATTCACTCAGCAAAGCTATTTATCCAACTGGGCAAAAGAGGTGGCAATACAATCTCACAGGAATGCCACTGCTAATAATGCTCAGAGTTGTAAAACAAAATTAGACAAATTTTCCTAGCTCAGAGGGAAGAAGTAGACCTTAGAAATGTCACCTCTTCAGCATGGGATGCTGCAGCGGGGTGCAGCCTCTCACATGAGCAGCTACACTCAACTCATGCAATCATATTTTCAAGTCTCAGTGGGTCATGTCCCTGAAAAAACGTGCTTAACACGTAATACATTACTGAACATGTTTGATCTGAACTCAGGAAAGAAGCCAGTTGATTTTAGTATCTGACATGTGATACTGTCATATTTTTGAAAAGCAATTACAGCTAAATTGAACATTCTATTTAGAACCAGCTGTTTGATTGCAGTGGTTGAAAATAAAAGTTAATCTGAACATTGACACACGATAATGTTCCCTGAGTGCTGACTCATGAGAGCAGCTGGAATTGTTGAATACTTTTTTTACATGAAAACTTCATGCCTAAATACCCAATTACTACATTTCACGTAGTAGCATAGCTTCCAAGCATGCTACAATGACATGAAAAGACACATGTTTTTTTTTTAATAAGTCTGCTGCAAGCTATGTAACTTCAGCCAACATCCTTTGCAATGAGCAAACAGAAGAAACCAGAGTAGGGAAATCACAAGCTAGAACCTGAAGGAGAAATTACCCTTTCAACAAGGCTGATTTTTAAGAAAATTAAGCTTCTATTCAAGCCACCCCCTCCCTGCCCTGTCTCAAACCAGGGGAATTCCTAGTCTGCACTGGGTGGAGCTGAGGCGTGTCTGCTTCATCTGTTCTGCTGCTTTTCATCCTGCACATGGACTTCAGAAGTTGCTGGCTTGCTTGAGCCTCAGGTGACAGAAGGCAGCGTGTTGGCATTAATGCATGCACAGTGTGAGGCTCAAACATTTTGTGGAAATGAGGGACTGGGCAGAAATGAAACTCACGTAACTTCCTCAAGCACGTACTAGGCAAGCAGGACCCCTGTAAGGTGCTGTTTTACCAGGGCATTTTTTGGCATCAGCTAATACAGTCAGGCAGACTCATGATGAGCAAGAGGGTGGGGAGATCCCTGCTTTGTGTAGGCTGTGTCTTGTTGCAAACATGCTTTGGTGAGCCTGTGAGGAATTGCAGCGTTGCATCACTCATTTTGCAGGACTCTTTGGGATCTGCAAAAGCAAGGTGTGAGCTAGTTTCACAACACACCTTTGGATACTTCCACAGTATCAGCAAAAAAAGCAGTTCAGCTTCAGATGCTTGCTCTGTGTGTGCTTGTAAGTGCATGTGTGTTCTGTCTTCTGGAGCAATCTGTTCTGGGACAGATTATCCTGAACTTCAGGTTATGAAGTTTTTTTTAAAGTACATGGAACGGTTTGAATCCTGGCTCAGACTAATTTGCTGGGTTTTCAAATGTAAATCCCTTTAAAAACAAACCAGAGCAGGTCTGTGAAAGGATGCAGGTGGGGCTGCAGCATTTTTCCAACAGATGAAAAGGCAGGTTGCTTCTCCAAGACTGTCTCAACGCAGTTGTTTGGATTTGCAAACTTGCTTGACCAGGTGAGCATAGGGGGGATTTACAAAGAAGTTAAAGGAAGCAGATGTTCCAGCTTCCCTTTCCTTTCACAGCTGCAGCTCACCATCACCACCTGGCCCTCACCCTGGTTTGTGTGGCACACTCGCTGTCACCCGAGAGAGAAGAGAGCCCAGCACGCTCTGCTCTGACAGGAGCACTGACAAGTGACAGCCCTCATGCTCGGCAGCTGGAGTGGATGTGTGCTGCCACTCCCTGATGTCACTGTGCTCTCCATCCTCCCACTGGTGAAACTATGGAACCAGACTTGCCAGATCAGTTCCCAAGC